AATGTTCGTTCCTTCCTTGGCTTAGCTGGCTACTATCAACGCTTCATCAAGGATACTCGAAGATCGCGGCTCCTTTATCCAAGCTTCAATGCGAAGACCGGCCATTCGACTTCAACGACAATGCGCGGACTTCCTTTTTGGCTCTCAAAGCCGAATTGTTATCCGAGGAAATGTTGCACATCTATGATCCGCTTTTTGTCGACACGTGTCACTACCGATGCGTCCGACTATGGCATTGGTGCCGTCCTCGAGCAACATGATGGTGTGGACTGGCACCCGATCGAGTACTTTAGCAAGAAAGTGTTCGTTGTGCACTCGATTGACGACGCACGGAAGAAGGAATTATTGGCCTTCGTACACGCGCTCAAGCGCTGGTGGCATTTTCTTCTCGGTCGACGGCAGTTCCGATGGGTAACGGATAACAATCCATTGGTCTTCTACAAGACAAAAGACACGGTCACTAGCACCATTGCCCGTTGGATGGCCTTCATCGACCAGTTTGACTTTTTCCCCGACCACATCCCGGGCAAGTCAAACCGTTTTGCGGATGCTCTTTCACTGCGTCCGGACCATTGTACCACAGTCTACTCAACTTTTGAGATTAATGACAACTTGCAGGACAGCTTTATCTGCGGCTACCACGTCGACCTCGAGTTTTGCGAGAAGTATGCAAATTGCTCCTCTCCTAATCCGACGCTATCGCACTATCGGATCCAAGAGGGGTACTTGCTCGTGCACTCGCAGGGAAGGATTTTCTTTGTGTGCCACGAGATTTACACTTGCGCACACGGCTTCTTGGCGAGTTCCACGATGCTCCCGCCACCGGACACTTTGGAGTCAATCGTACGACTGGCCAACTCCGTGAGCGGTTTTGGTGGCCCGGTCTTCTCGACGACGTCACACGTTATTGTGAGTCATGTGAGGTTTGCCGACGTTGCAAATCCTGCAATCATCGTCCGTACGAGGAGTTGCGACCGTTACCTGTCCCCTTGCGGCGAAGGGAAGCAATTGCCATGGACATTACCGCCCCGTTCCCCAAGCACAAGACCGAAGTGGATGGGATTCTCACGGTGGTCGACCGACTCACCAAGTTCGCCATGTTTTTGCCTTGCCGCTATCATGCCAAGGCACCAGAGTTGCGTCGGTTGGATTTGAACCAAGGGTTCCCCCAAGGAAATCGCCTGCGGCCGTGACACTCGGTTCATGTCCGATTTTTGGTTGGCGCTCATCAAATGTTGGGGCTCATCTCTCAAGCCAAGTTCGGCTCGCCACCCCCAAACCGATGGCCAAACGGAGAGGGCGCATCAGACCGCACAGGTTCTCCTTCACACTCTCAACCGTCCCGACCAAAAGGATTGGGTTGAGCGGTTGCCGGATGTCGAGTTGGCATACAACTCGTCCATCCACCCGGCTATCGGGATGTCGCCCTTCGAGTTTGAGCACGGCTGGCCGGTCACTTCTCCGTTGGACACAATCATTCCACGAACGACCGAGAGCGACAACCATCTTCTTTTCTTGCGACGAATGCGTGAGCTACTTGTCAAGGCACACGACCAGATGGCCAAGACGCAGCAACGCATGAGCCAACAGGCCAATCGCCTGCGGAACATGACGATTTTCCCGGACGACGATCGCAAGACCCACCCTCTATGGACGACTTTCAATAGGTCGGCAACATCATCTCCCGGCGACGCTACGGCAACAGGCCAACCAAGTACTTGGTACACTTTGCGTATTGCAGTCACCGAGCTGACCGATGGTTAACCCGTGTGGAACTCCAATCAACAGCTCCGGATGTTCTCGCACAATACGAATGCAAGATGCAAGGCAAGCCGGTATCTTCGGCTCCACGTTGCACCCGCATCTCCGCATCCACGTTCCACCTTCAGATCGTCAGCTTCGCCCTCGCCCTGGCTTGACTTCATAAGGAGGGGGGGGTGTTACATGCTGCACCTGCAACAGGCTGCACGGGCCATTTCCAGGCCCGTGACGTTTTCAGGCCAAAAGCCTGAAAACAAGGGCCTACAGGCCCTGTGTCGTTTCAGCCTGCAAGCCTGAAAACAAGGGCCTACAGACCCTGTGTCGTTTCAGGCTAAATCAGGGCCTTTCTGGCCCTGAGTGTTTTCAGCCTGAAACTGAGGGCCATTTCCGGGCCCTCATGAGTTCGGCCTGCCCCGAAACTCAGGCACCAGACCAGGGTTTTAGCTCAGGCCATTTCCGGCCTATTTTCAAGACAACCTTTGTTTGAGCTTCAACCCCAGGGTATGGCACGTTGAGGCGTTGGCAAGAGCAGCCTCCTGGACGGGCCAGCACTAGGTAGTTCATAGGTACTTCCCAGGCACTTCACGTGCACTTCAGGAGGCAGGAGGTAGTCTTCAGGATTCGGCAACAGCACTCTGGAGGAGCACTACAGGAGTAGTATTAGCGCTAGCAGTAGTCTTCAGCGCTGGGCGCTTTGTAGCGTTAGCAGTAGTCTTCAGCGCTGGGCGCCATAGCTAGAGTAGTA